ACCACAATACTGGATCACATCCTACCGGCTATTTCCCATATAATAAATTTCTCTTTGTTTTCCTGTACTTTCCCATCCTTGTGGCGGAGAGCATATATTCGGCCTCTTCCTAAAGTCACCAACCCCACTGTCCCTTCTCATTTTCGTCCCATTTCTATCCTTCCTTTCCTATCCAAGGTGCTCGAGGCCTGCGTTCATCGACAGTTTTCCGGTTTCATATATCGGAACTCACTTATTTCACCACTGCAATCTGGATTCAGGCCTGGTCATAGCACTGTCACTGCACTCCTTAAAGTGACTGGCGATGTTAGGGCAGCAATGGAGGACGCCAAGGTGACTGTTCTGGTGCTGGTTGATTTCTCTAACGCCTTTAACATGGTCAGTCACAATATCCTCTTAGCTGTCCTGGCCTATCTGTCGGTCTCTGATGGAGCACTGGAATTGTTCTCTTCATACCTTCGTGGGCGTCAGCAGATGGTGCAGGTTGATGATACGTCATCGGGTTGGGCCACACTGCACAATGGCGTTCCACAGGGCGGCATACTTTCTCCTCTTCTGTTTTCTATTTTTATCAATCTTATAACTTCTGATCTTCAGTGTGCGTATCATCTGTATGCCGACGACTTACAGGTGTACTGTCACGGAGTAGTGGCTGATCTGGACCAGTGCATCGCCAAAATCAACCGTGATTTGGCTGCTATTAAGAGTTGGTCCGAGAGGTTTGGAATCGCTGTCAATCCTGACAAATGTCAAGCGATTATTATTGGTAGTAGTAAAAGTATGGCCAAAATCAACTTCACTATACTACCGCCCGTACTGTACAACGGGACGCCTGTCCAATATAGTGAGAGCGTCAAGGACCTGGGTATACATATTGACAGTACCCTCAGTTGGCGAAGTCAAACTGCCAGTGTGAGTCAAAAAGTTACCGGATCGCTGCGGTCTCTGTACCGTCTCAGAAATGTACTGCCTCCCAGCACTAAGGCGATGCTTGTGCAGACCTTAATTTTCCCCATCATCGATTATGGTGATGTGTGTTACTATGACCTGAATGCAGATCTCCTCAACAAACTTGACCGTCTTCTAAATAACTGCATTCGATTCGTTTCTAACTTGCGTAAATACGACCATGTGTCTGCACAGCGATCATTGTTGAAATGGTTGCCTATTCGTCAGCGCAGAGAGCTAAGGGCACTCACAACTTTATTTTCTCTGCTTGACTCTCCCAATTCTCCTAACTATTTAACTTCCCATTTCCAGTATGTATGTGACAACCATACTAAAAATCTACGCTCCTCGCATAATCGGCTGTTGCACTGTCCTGTCCATCGCAGTAACTTTACTCATTCTTCTTTCTTCATTCAAGTCATTTCTCTCTGGAACACGCTTCCAACGAATGTCAGAACCGCAACCAGTCGTCTGAGTTTCAAGCGGAGGGCGCGTGAGTACATTAGCGGAAAGCTGGCAGTTTCATAACATCTTTCATAATTTTTCATCTTGTTGTAACATAGGACAAATTCATATACGAGTCACAAATATATTTATATGTATAATGATATTTATATTATATATAATTACATATATCTATACGATTATATTTACGTATTTTATGTATGCTTTTGATACCCTTTTATTAATTTGGATAATTACCACTATTTCTCATGACAGTTTTGCAGCTTACCACCTACCACATACATTTCTGCACTACCCAAAGGATGACTGGCAGAGAATGCTGTTGGCATTAAGTCCTCCTTATGCAATTGTATAAAACTTAAATAAATAAATAAAAAAATAGACACTGATATTGACCAAAAACTCGACCAAATGGTCGGGATACTCCGAGATGAGGGGACGAAAATGTGGCGGGCGCAAAATACCGGCAGGAGGGCGAGGCTTTCGAGGGAGTCTCTGCAGCTGATGAAGAGGCGACGCGTGAAAACCCAGCAGTCGCTTCGTCGGATCTTAATAAAAAGATCTCGAAGCAGGTAAGACGTGACCTTCGGTGCTCCAACACACGCACTATAAAAGAAACGATCGAGCGAAATCGGGGGTCAAAAGTTTTCATCCAGCAACTAGGCCGAAGCCATCTGACGAAGCTGACTACATTTGAGGGAAAAGTCGTCGCTTCTGGGCCGGAGATTCTTGCGGAGGTTCAGCGCTCCTATGGTGATCTATATGCGTCACAAGCACCCCAACCTCAATCATACTCGGGGGATCCCAGGGCCACACTTGCCCGCCACTTCACTGAAGAGCTGCCAGAGGTCAGGCAAGACGTGATCTTGGTGGCTTTGGGGCAACTTAAAAATGGAAAAGCCCCCGAAATTACAACGGAGCTCCTTAAGGCAAGGGGAAACCGATTCTCGAGCGGCTCCAAAGTATATTTAATTTCGCCCTTCTCACGGGGA